GCCCAGAGCCAAGTGGGCAGAGCCCAGCCCCGAGCACAGCATCTGGGGCCGGGAGCTGCGCCCGCGTCTGCATCCGCATCCCGATCCTCAGCCCGGTCCTGATCCCGATGCCAATCCCGATCCTGATCCCGATCCTCGGCCTGGTCCTCATCCTCATCCAGATCCTGATCCCAATCCTGATCCTGATCCTGATCCTCATCCTGTTCCCAATCCCGATCCTGTCCCTGCTCCTGCTCTAGATCCTCCTTCTCCTTCCTTTTCCCTTTCCCTTTCCCCTTCCCTTTCTCTTTCCTTTTCCTTTTCCTTTTCCTTTTCCTTTTCCTTTTCCTTTTCCCTTCCCCTTTCTCTTCCTTTTCCCCTCTCCTTCTCCTTCCTCTTTCTTTTCCCTTTCCCTTTCTCTTTCCCTTCCCTTTCCTCTTCCCCTTCTCCTTCCCTTTCCCCTTCCCTTTCCTTTTTCCTTTCCCTTTCTCTTCCCTTTCCCCTTTCCCATCTCCTTTCCCTTTCCCTTCCCCTTCCCTTCCCCTTCCCTTCCCCTTTCCCTTCCCCTTTCCCTTCCTTTCCCCTTTCCTTTCCTTTCCTTTCCTTTCCTTTCCTTTCCTTTCCTTTCCTTTCCTTTCCTTTCCTTTCCTTTCCTTTCCTTTCCTTTCCTTTCCTTTCCTTTCCTTTCCTTTCCCTTCCTTCCCTTTCCCTTTCCCTTTCCCTTTCCCTTTCCCTTTCCCTTTCCCTTTCCCTTCCCCATCTCATTCCCCTTCTCCTTCTGCTCCTCCTCCCCCTCCTCCCGCAGATCCTGGCTGGGGGTTCATGGACCAGACCCCAAACCTCCCCCAGGCTCTGAGGGCTTTGGGACAGGCTCCAGGCAGCTCCCAAGAGCTCTTTGCAGGAATGCGGGGCTGAGGAATGCAGGGGGCAGCGTCCAATGGGCGCTGCACCCCAAACCCCCCCCCGCACCCCAGCGCTGTGCCCATGTCCTCACCTCTGCTCCCTATGGAGCATCCCGCACGGAGGAGCTGCCGCTCGCTCCCTGTTTAAGGGGACCCCGGGGTCCGGACCCCCTGGAGCCGGGAATGCCGAGATTCCCACCAGCAGATGTCAGCTCCCGCCCGGGGATGCGGATCCGCAGCCGGCGCTCGCTGCGCTCCCATGGGGTCCCTGCGGGCATGGGCACGGGGCTGCAGATCCCATGGGGTTCATGGGGACCCGGCAGGGATCGGGGGGGGGGGGGCAGGACACGGGGGGCTTGCCCTCAACAACACCGGGACCCTCTTTGTGCCCCACACTTGGGGGTCTGGGGGGCAGCAGGAGCTGCAGGGAGTGATGGGGCCACCTTGTCCCCGCCTTGCCATGTCCCAACACCCTCTCATGGTGTTGGGCCATCACAACGGGGCTTGGGAGCATCCCAAATGGAGCTGAGGGGTCCCCAGGACCAATGCCCCTTTGTCCCAGCCCCATCCCATCAGCTCTATGGGTACCACCGCTCGCAAGCAGGGTCACATCCGTGTCCCATCGGAGCCCTGGCTGCTCCATAATCGCGTTCCCCAGTGTGATGTTAATGAAGCATCCCGGGAGCAGCTGCCGGGATTAAATTAGATCCCCTTAATCCACGGTAATTGCCGCACGGAGCCGGGAATTCCAGCCCAGATGGGCAGGAAGCGGCGTTCCCACTGGTGACACTGGGAATTGCCCTCCCTTCCCTTGTGGCCGCTCTGAGATGAGGGGATGGAGGGACGCTGGGTGAGGGGTGGGGGCCAGGGGTGATGGTGGGACACAGGGGACACGGTGGGATGAGTATTCCCCATGTCCCATCATTCCCATCATCCTTAGGTGGAGCATCATTGAAATAGAGCATCCTTAGGTGAAGCATCCTCAGGTGGAGCATCACTGAGGTTAAACATCCTCAGGTGGAGTATCCTTAGGTGGAGCATCCTTAGGTGGAGCATCCTTAGGCAAAGCATCCTTAGGTGGAGCATCATTGAGGTGGAGCATCCTCAGGCAGAGCATCCTTAGGGGGAGCATCCTTAGGTAGAGCATCCTTAGGTAGAGCACCCTTAGACAGAGCATCACTGAGGTGGAGCATCACTGATGCGGAGCATCCTCAGGTAGAGCATCCTTAGATGGAGCATCCTTAGATAGAACATCATTGAGGTGGAGCATCACTGATGCAGAGCATCCTCAGGTAGAGCATCCTTAGATGGAGCATCCTTAGACAGAGCACCACTGAGGTGGAGCATCACTGATGCAGAGCATCCTCAGGTAGAGCATCCTTAGATGGAGCATCCTTAGACAGAGCACCACTGAGGTGGAGCATCACTGATGTGGAGCATCCTCAGGTCGAGCATCCTTAGGCAGAGCATCACTGAGGTGGAGCACCCTTAGGTGGAGCATCCTTTGGTGGAGCATCACTGAGGTGGACCATTCTCAGGTAGAGCATCCTTAGGCAGAGCATCCTTGAGGTGGAACATCCCCATATCCTGGGCTGCACCCCCAGCACATCTCTATGTGTCATGGGGACGATGCACTCTCTTCCTCATGATCTGCGTTGCTCAGAGCCCCACAGCAAAGAGGGAAACTGAGGCTCGGGATGAGCAGGAACAGGGAAACTGAGGCTTGGGATAATGGGACAGTGCAGGGTGATGGGGACCCCAGAGCTGAGGCTGCTGGTCGGAGCCACCAGTGCCTGGGAATGGAGATGTGGGGAGGGATGTGGGGTGCTGAGAGGATGATGGGGGGCACAGGGTGGGATGTGAGGACCCCTGAGGGGTGGGAGGGATAAACAGGGATGGAGGCCATCCGGAAGGGATGGGAGGTCCACTTGGAGACCCCCAGTGCCACCTGGGATGGGAACGGGGGCTCTCCCTGCACCCCAGCCCCAATCCCCCCGCTCTGCCCACCCCGATGTCCCCATCCCAGTGTTCCCAGCCCTCGGGCCGGGGCTGGAGATGGGAATGGGGAGCTGGAACACATCGTGAGCATGGTCCTGGGGTAGGGGGGGGGCAGCGCCAGCAGATGCCGAGCCCCACACAATGGGCTGAGGCAGCGGCACAATGGTCCCGCATCGCTCCGGGGTCATTCCCATTCCCAGATCCCAGAGCCACCGATGGCAATGGGAGAGGAGGGGGAGCCTTTCACTGTGTGTGTGTGTGTGTGTGTGTGTGTCCCATCCCTGGGGCACCCACCGGCCCCTTTGTGCGGGTGCTGGGACCTGTTGGAACCATCTGCCAGGGAGGGGATGGGGATGGGGCCGGGGCCGGACGTGGCAACAGGCAGATTTATTGGCCGCAATCTGTTCCTGGAGCCGGGAACGGAGCCATGAATCCATGAATGAATTCATCAGGATTCCCGTTAATCCCGGGCTGCGGCGCTCGCCAGCGCTCGGGGTGATGGGGAAGGGTCCTGCGGGCTGGTGCCTGCATCCCTTGTGTGGGTCCCGTGCTGTGATGCTGAGATCCAGAATCAGAGGATGGGCAGGGATGCAGGGGAATGATGGGGGGCGGATAACTTTTGGGGTGTCAGCAGTGTCCCCCCCAACCTGCGTCCCACAGCGGTGTCATCGCAGCAGAGGCTGGACAAGGGGGGTGGTGAAGCCCCTGGCACTGTGGGATGGGGGGGACATGGGCCCCATGGAGGGGTTGTCCTGGGTGAGCTGGGTGCTCAGCCAGGGGTCCCCATCCGAAGGTGCTCATCACAGGGTGGTGGTGCAGGGATGCCCATTCAGGAGCATCCGTTTAGGGGTCCCCATCAAGGGATGCTCATCTGGGGGTACCCACCCAGGGGTGTCCATTTAGGGGTCCCCATCCAGGCTGTCCCTCCAGGGGTGCCCATCCTAAGGTGCTCATCCCAGGATGCTCTCCCAAGGGTACTGGTCCAGGCATTCCCATTTAGGGGTGTCCATCCAGGGGTGCCCATTTAGGTGTCCACACTCAAGTGCTCATCTAAGGATGCTCATAGTAAGGTGCTCATCCAGGGGTGCTGGTCCAGGGATGCCCATCCAGGGGTGCCCATTTAGGTGTCTCCATTCAGGACTGCTCACCTATGGATGCCCATCTTAAGATCTTCATCCCAGGATGCTGATATAACGGTGCTGGTCCAGGGATGCCCATTTAGGGGTGCTAGTCCAGGGGTGCCCACCCAGAGATGCCCATTTAGTGGTGCTGGTCCAGGGGTGCCCACCCAGAGATGCCCATTTAGGGGTGCTGGTCCAGGGTTGCCCATCAAGGGATGCCCATTTAGAGGTCCCCATCAAGGGGTGCACATCCAGAGGTGCTCAACTATGGATGCCCATCCTAAGGTGTTCATCCCAGGGTGCTGGTCCAGGGGTGCCCATCAAGTACTCACTATGGACGCCCATCCTAAGGTGCTCATCCCAGGGCACTGGTCCAGGGGTGCCCATAAAGTACTCACTATGGACGCCCATCCTAAGGTGTTCATCTCAGGGTGCTGATCCAGGGGTGCCATCAAGGGATGCCCATTTAGGGGTCCCCATCAAGGGGTGCCCATCCAGAAGTACTCACTATGGATGCCCATCCTAAGGTGTTCATCTCAGGGTGATGGTCCAGGGGTGCCTATAAAGTACTCACTATGGATGCTCATCCTGAGGTGTTCATCTCAGGGTGCTGGTCCAGGGGTGCCCATAAAGTACTCACTATGGACGCCCATCCTAAGGTGTTCATCCCAGGGCACTGGTCCAGGGGTGCCCATCAAGTACTCACTATGGATGCCCATCCTAAGGTGTTCATCCCAGGGCACTGGTCCAGGGCACCCCATCCCCTGCATCACCCACCCGAGGATGCTCATCCAGGGACACCCCCCTAGGGTGCTCCCCCGGAGACCCCCATCCCAGCCGCTGCCGTCGGGGTCCCGGTGGGGCTGCGGGAGGAGCCGGGCCCGGGGCCACCTCCTCCCGTAGGAGGAGCCACTCGGGACCCGCGGCCGGGCAGGAGCCGCCGGCAGCGCCGGGCTCAAAACCGCCCGAGAGCGGAGCCGCTCCCGGTACCGCTCCGGTGCCCGCTCCGGGGCTGCAGGCGCGATGCACCCGGGCAAGTGACGGCGGGGACCCGCTCCGGTGCCCAGGTAAGGGCGGACACGGAGGTGCGGGGACACGGAGGGATGCGCAGACCCCTCCGACGGGGCCTCCCGGTACCCGAGGATGGAGCGGGGGGCTCTGCCCCGACAGCAGCGGGACCCGGACCTGGAGGGGGGTCTCAGAGCTCCGAGGGGGGATACCCGGAGTGCTGGTGGAGGGTGGGATGGAGCCGGAGCCTGCCGGGGTCCCGGGGATGCGGCTTCATCCCGATGGGATGCAGGATGCGGGGACCGGGAGGACCAGAGTTGGGGGAGCATCGGGGCTGGGCATTGGTGCCATCCGTGTCACGTCGGGGCTGGAGGTGCTGAAGGTGAAGGAGGTGATGAAGGGGATGGAAGTGATGAAGGGGATGGAGGGGATGAAGGGGATGAAGGGGATGGAGGGGATGGAGGGGATGAAGGTGAAGGAAGTGATGAAGGGGATGGAGGTGATGAAGGGGATGGAAGTGATGAAGGGGATGGAGGGGATGAAGGGGATGGAGGGGATGAAGGTGAAGGAAGTGATGAAGGGGATGGAGGTGATGATGAATCTGCCCCAATCCCCGATGTTTGTTCCTCTTATCCCAATGGGGCAGCTCCACAAGCACAGCCCCATTCCCACTGAAGCATCCTCTGGGATACAGCCAGCACTCAGCCAGAGCCCACTGGGTCCCCTATAGCTGAGCCCCATCCTGTGATATTCCCAGCAGGATACAGAGCGGAGGACTCAAATCCTAATTTCCATGGTCTCCAACTTGTCCTCTTTTGGGGGAATCAAGAAGGAAACCAAGGGAGGGTTGAAATCAAATTCCTGATCCTACAGGAAAGGTGAAGGAATCGAACCCACTTGTTTTGGGATGGGAGCCTGGGACACAAAGGGAAAGCTCCTGGTGCTGGATTTGCAAAGGAAAAGGAAGGTTTTGGCCACAATGGGCTTTTTCCTGCCTTGGATTTCTTCTGGTTCTTTTGGGTGATGTGGGATGCAGGGAAGAGGAACTGGATCTTTATGGTCCCTTCCAACACAAACCATTCCACGATTCCATGAATAGCCAAAATAATGGGGTTGGAAAAGCTTCCCCTTCTCGCTTCCAAAGCTTCCTACTTGGGGAACTCCTGGAGTGACTCCATCAGGCAATTCCCTCTTTGTGCGCTTTTCCCACTTTTTTTAACATCAATATTCCAGAGAAAAGGAACAAAAATCCCTGAAAACTCAATTTGGATTTCCAAAAAGAAAACCTTCCGAAGCAACATGGGAATACTGCGCTGTGAAACGATGGGAATGGGGAGGACACTGGGCTGAACCCAGTGATTTGCTTCTGGGGTGGATTCTGGTGCATGGGATGCACCCAGATGGATAGGATGGGAGCTGCAGGCAGGGATGCTTGGGGATGGATCCTTTAGGATGGATGAATGTGCTCCTCAGGATGCCTTGGGGCCGTTTCAGGGCTGCTCTCATGCAAAGCCCTGGGGATCCCAGAAGGAATTTGGACCAGCTCCATTCATCCCAAAGCTGGTTCTTCAGCACCTTCACCCGCCAGCATCTCCCAGACCCCCATTGCTCCATCACTGGGGCTCCCTGGTCCTCTGGGATCCACTGGCTCTGAGCAGCAATTAACACCCTAATCCAGCCTCAAGCCGCATCCCGTGTATTAGAAGTGGGATTTTCCACATGGAATGGCCAGGGGCCACGGAGCCGGGGCTCGGGCAGCACTTTCAGCAAAGCTGCTTACATGTTAAGCTTTATTAAATGAGTCAGGCCCGATGACAGGATCTGGGGGCTCAGCACCATGAATCCAAAGCTGGTTTGTGTGGTGTGACCGCTCCTTACGGCAGAGCAAAGCGAACGTTCAACCACAGGAGCATCTCCAGAGGCTTCCCATCGCCCTGTTGTGACCCAGAGGGTGATAATTGGGGTTGAAGCCAGGAGGGGAGGGGTTCATCAGTGGGAATAACCCCAAAATTGAGATGTTGGAAGCTCTGAGCCCTGGAAAAGAGATGCTGGGCCCCAGGGGTGCATTCCCAAAGCATTCACCAGAGGTTACTGTAGATGGATAAAGAGGTAGATGATGGATGAATAGGTGCTGTGGGTACCATCAGTGGGCAGAAAGGAGCTGATGTCTCTGGGGGATGATTCTGATACTGTAGATGGATAAAGAGGTAGATGATGGGTGAATAGGTGCTGTGGGTACCATCAGTGGGCAGAAAGGAGCTGATGTCTCTGGGAGATGATTCTGATACTGTAGATGGATAAAGAGGTAGATGATGGATGAATAGGTGCTGTGGGTGCCATCAGTGGGCAGAAAGGAGCTGATGTCTCTGGGGGATGATTCTGATACTGTAGATGGATAAAGAGGTAGATGATGGGTGAATAGGGGCTGTGGGTACCATCAGTGGGCAGAAAGGAGCTGATGTCTCTGGGGGATGATTCTGATACTGTAGATGGATAAAGAGGTAGATGATGGGTGAATAGGGGCTGTGGGTACCATCAGTGGACAGAAAGGAGTTGATGCCTCTGGGGGATGATTCTGGTACTGTAGATGGATAAAGAGGTAGATGATGGGTGAATAGGTGCTGTGGGTACCATCAGTGGGCAGAAAGCCTCTGGGGGATGATTCTGATCTCAGCCCTAATGCCCCCATCACATTGGATGACTCTTCCACTGCAATTCCTTAACATCTCCTTGTCCCTCTGTTGCAGGGATCAGAGATGACCAAGACTTACGCCAAGCCCAAAGAGATGGCGGAGCTCGTGAGCACCCAACCCTGGATGGACGAAGCGTTGGGCTCCAAGGACGAGCTGAAGGCAGAGGGCAGCAGGCAAGGTCCTTTTGTATTGATGTCTGCCTTGAACGAAGAGCACAACAGCATCGAGGAGGAAGAGGAGGAAGAGGACGATGGGGAAAAGCCCAAGAGGAGAGGACCAAAGAAGAAGAAGATGACCAAGGCGAGGTTGGAGCGGTTCAGGGCCCGAAGGGTGAAGGCCAACGCCCGGGAGCGCACGCGGATGCACGGCCTCAATGATGCTCTTGACAACCTGAGGAGGGTGATGCCCTGTTATTCCAAGACCCAGAAGCTGTCCAAGATCGAGACCCTGAGGCTGGCAAGGAATTACATCTGGGCTCTGTCCGAGGTGCTCGAGACGGGGCAGACTCCCGAAGGGAAGAGCTTTGTGGAGATGCTCTGCAAGGGCTTGTCCCAGCCCACCAGTAACCTGGTGGCCGGGTGCCTGCAGCTGGGACCACAGACCCTGTTCCTGGAGAAGCACGAGGAGAAGGCCCCGCTGTGTGAATCGGCCGTATCCAGCCATTCCTTCAGCTACCAGTCCCCAGGGCTCCCAAGCCCACCCTATGGGACCATGGAAACCCATCTGCTGCATTTAAAGCCCCCCGCCTTCAAGAGCTTGGTGGATGCTTCCTTTGGAAACCATCCCTCTGACTGCACCACTCCTCCCTATGAGGGTCCCCTGACGCCGCCCCTGAGCATCAGTGGGAACTTCTCCTTGAAGCAAGATGGGTCTCCAGACCTGGATAAATCCTACACCTTCATGGCCCATTACCCCTCGGTCAGCCTGGCTGGAGCACATGGACATGCCTCCCACTTCCAAAGCACGATGCCCCGCTACGAGATCCCCATAGACATGGGCTACGAGTCCTACCCACACCACGTAGCTGCTCCCCAGCTCAATGCCATCTTCAATGAGTAGCAAAGCAGAGGCAGACCCAAATCCTTGCTGCAGAGGGAAGTTCGGCATCGTCGTGGAGCTGGTTCTAGAATGGACGCAACTGGGAGGTCACCGCTATGGGGTGAGAGACTTGTGAGCATCTCTGCAGGACGTGGATGGGGAAGGCTTCATGGTCCTCCTGTCCTATCCCAGTAGGTGCCCCCCAGAGATGCTCATGAAGGTGGCTTCACCCTGCAGGACTTGATGCACTGCAGCACTTGGGATCATCCATTGCCAGGACGTTCCAACTCCTTTTCCTCCCTCCTTGGGGCTGTGGGATGTGGGTCTCACATAGGTGGAGACAAGCCCATTCTGCCCCTCAGGATGACCAGTTCCCATTCCACACGCTCTGATGAGGTTATGGCTTTCCCAGTTTAGGGAATGATCTGGACCACTTGCAGAAGACCAACGTGGTTGCTCCTCCTTGAAGCTTTATGTTAGCTGCCACTGCACCATCCATGGCCAGTGTGGTCCAGCAGGCTCAGAGCTTCTCCATGATGGTCCCTTCACCATGCTGAGCCCCATATCTCACTTGTGACCTACAACCAGCACGAGATGCTCAGCACATGGATCTTGAAACCTCTTTAGGGGACTCCTGGTTGTCCAGAGCACAAAGATCCTGTCTGGAAGAGGATGTCCCACTGAACCCTTGCTCCTGCTCCACATCTTAGGGTTCGTAGCGTTCTCCATCCTGATCCATGTCCCGATCACATCCTCCCAATGGAAACGTGTCTGGATCACTGATGATTTATCTGAGTGTGTGTGTGGTGAGGGGTCCATTTAGTTCCTTCCACCCCACATGGAATAGGGAAAGCGCAAAGCAGCCTCCTCCTTTCCCAGTTGGCTCCCAGGTGCTTAGCTGGCGTTAGCGTTGTGGAGATGTCCCCTTTGCAGTGCTCTTGCTCCAGGGTTATTTATTAGCCATTATTTATTTAATTTATTCTTTCCCTGCCCGTTTTCTAGGGGTGAAACCAAGAATTCCGCCGACTTTAAGGTCAAATCCCATTTTTAGGATGGTCGTTGGTTGGATTTGGGAAGCCCGGCAGCTCCCAACTCATCCCTTGTATTCCCAGATGAGCAATAACTTCCGAAGCCTATGCAACTATTTTTGTCTCTGAGAAATCCCAGGCCCCTATTTTTGATGTCCCATTGGCCCAGTGGCCAAAGCTCCTTGGTTTTGTATGGAGTTGGGGATCTGGAGGTGATCTGAGCTCCGGAATTCCCTGCCCGGGCCCTTCTTCCCTTTTGTAACGAGAGCAAACATTTATCCTTTTGTAAAGAAAGCAGATTTGGGGGTTTTAGCTCAAATAAAGTCGTGGTTTTGTTTCAAGCAGCATCGCCCCTGGGTTGGTGTCTCCTTGTCGGGGGTCTTCAGTGTGGTGCTGGTGAGGGGATGCTTGGGGGGACCAGAGCATCCAAACCCCCCCATTGTGGGCTCCATCTGGGATCCCTGACCTCGGGTCTGGGCTCCATGGGGTGCTGCTGGCTGGTGCTCACCATGGGGCATAGCGGGACCATCTCTGCCTGTCTGGTGCCTGCATTCACGGGATGCGGGTCATGAACACGCACCCACACGCATGTAAAGGCACGCACACACATGCACAGACACACACGTGTCGCTGCAGCACACGGACATCACCCACGTGTGGCACAGACAGGATGGTTTGGGGAGCAGAATGGGGATGCACCTATGTGGGGATTCACCTATGTGGGGATTCACCTATGGGGAGATGCATCTACATGGGGGTGCACCTACATGGGGGTGCACTTACAAGGGGATGCACCTACATAGGGATGCACCTATGTGGGGATGCATCTACATGGGGATACACCTACATAGGGATGCACCTATGTGGGGATGCACCTATATAGCGATGCATCTACATAGGGATGCATCTACATGGGAATGTATCTACATATGGTTGCACCTACATGGGGATGCACCTGCATGGGGATGCACCTATGTGGGGATGCATCTCCATAGGGATGCATCTCTATGGGATTGCACCTACCTGGGGTTGCACCTATATGGGGATGCACCTGCATGGGGATGCACCTATGTGGGGATGCATCTCCATAGGGATGCATCTCTATGGGATTGCACGTACATGGGGTTGGCACCTATATGGGGATGCATTTCCAAGGGGATGCACCTACATGGGGATGCACCTACATAGGGATGCACCTATGTGGGGATGTATCTATATAGTGATGCATCTACATAGTGATGCATCTCCTTAGGGATGCATCTACATGGGATTGCACCTACCTGGGGTTGCACCTATATGGGGATGCACCTACATGGGGATGCACTTCCAAGGGGATGCACCTACATGAGGAAGCCCCTTCCTCGGGCTGCACCTAAATGAGGATAAGTCCCATCCTTCCCCCGTCTGTACCATGGGCTGGGGGCTACTGCAGCCTATGGAAGACCCTTCCCATCACGCCCTCACAACACCTCCATGCACCTCAATGTGACCCCATGGTGATGCTCTGGGCGCAGTGGGACAAGGACAGCGGCTGCTGCCCGCTGGTGCTGGGGCTCCAGCTGTGTCCTGGCCCTTCTCCTCCTGGTCGGTGGCCAAGCCCTGCTCGGTGCCAGCTCCCCGGGGTCCGTGTGTGCCCAGCAGCCGGGAATTGGCTCTTGAGCAGCTCCAGCCTGTGCCAAGAGAGCCGGGAGGCACAGCTGGCGAGGGAATGCCCCTGTGTGCGTGCAGCGGGGCCAGCAGCAGCTCCATGTGGAGGAAATCCCATGTGGATCCGCAGGACACGGAGCCTGGAGCCACGGGGATGGGCTGAGGACCACGGGAGCAGGGTGGAAAAGAGCTTCCAGGTCAGCAAATCCAATGGTTCCCCAGCAATGCCAAGGCCACCACTGACCCATGGCATTGAGGATGCCAGACGAGGACAAGGAGTGGGATTGGGGGAGAAGGATGAAGGATGCATGTGGCATCCTCCAAATAGAGCCCATGGTCCTTCCTCACCTATATATATATACAGGGCCTGTATATGTGCTGACCAGGACTGGCACAGCCTGCAATGGGGCAGGTCCATCTTCCACCCCACACCAGATAGGGAGAGGCTGGGATAGGTCCCATACCCAGGAGGGAATGGGACTGGGAATGTCTGGATGTTGGGAAGGGCAAGGCTGCTTCTCACCAGCCCTAGTGAGGACCCACACAGAGCTATGGATGGATGAGTAAATGGGCTTCAGGTGGGGTCCATTACGTAACCCTAATGAGCAATTAACATTCCCTTGTTAAAACCTGCCCCTTCCCACACGATGGCATCGCTGAGATTGGAGGATGCTCTTGCTACTGGGAGAAGGGGCCAGGGAGGCTGGAGCTGCTGTTGGGAACCTCAATGGTCCATCATCTCCTCCATCATCTCCAATGGGTGGGTGAGCATTGGACAGCTCCAGAAGCACCTTGGGCTATTAAAGCTTTGCTTTAACTCCACCATGTGGGTCCATGTGAAGGTCAGGTCTGACAGCAGAGCCAGCCCCAAAGCCCTGTTTTAAGGCTAGAAGAAGGAAGAAGCCACTGGGGACCTCCTGCATGGTCCTCCCTGGACAGGATGGAGGACCCCAAGAGAGGGATGCTCCATCCCACACAAGGCATTCCCATGGTAGAGGTTGGGGCTGGTGTCCATGGAGGACCTCGCATTGGGAAAGCCGGAGATGGGAGCATCTCTTCCCTGTGTGGGTCCTGCCTCCGAGCTGTCCTGGTTTCCGGAGCAGGGAGGGGGTGTCAGGAGCTCGGGAATCGCTGAGCCTGGATTTAGAGCTGTAATTCTGCTCTCGGTGGTAATCTCATAACCCCTGAGCTCCACAACGTGCCCAGCTCGGGAAGCATCCAGCCTTTTCCCACTAAGCCGCAGTGTCCGGCTCTTCATTCCCCACTTCATCGTCTTTGTCCCCTTGGGAGCATCAGATTTGGGCAATGAGCTCCCTGGTCCCATAGGAGAGGAGCCGAGTGGGGTCCCAATGGGATCAATGTGGTGGCACCGTGCTTGAGCCCCTGGGATGCACTTGTCTGCATCAGGGCTGGACCAAAGCCCTTGGGGCAACCAAGCCATCATCTGCACGTCTGCATCTTCAGGTCCAGCCTCTTCTTTCCATGATTCCAAACTCCTGGACATGGGTGCGTGGATGGGGAGTCCCCATCACTGCAGCATCCAGCATCTTCCAGTGCATCCAACCAGCATCCCACCAAGCGATGCTGCAGCACGGGAGATGGGTCCTAAAGGGGTTACAAGGTGGGTGTGCAGGACCATGGGCTCCATTCAGAGGATGCCATATACAGCACTTCCTCCTTCTCCCCAATCCCAGTCTTTATCCTGGTCTGGACACTACAAGGATCACGTTTGGCTCATGTGGGATGCTCCTGACACATCCCTTGGATGGATCCTGATGCTCCAGCAGGAAGGGATGGGAAATCCTGGTCCAACAGCAGAGCCTGTGGGGATGGAGCCGCTCATCCCGGAGGATGGGGCACGGGGCAGGCACCGGGAATGTCATCACCCCCTTCCCTGGGACACATGGGAGAGAGCGGCAGTGATTGAGCACCGCAGCCCCACACACACAGAGCTCGGGGGGCGGCGGGGGGGGGTTTATCTCTCCTAATACAAGCTCAGGCTCCCCCCTTCCCCAGCTTAATCCCCAGCAGATAAACCAACAGCGGGGAGATTTGGAGCTATTGAGGGAGCCTTGCTGCCGGGGCGAGATTAGAGCTGGGTTTAACGGCGCGGCCGGAGGGCTCCGGGGTGCTTTAATCGGGATTTGAACAGGAATAATCCCATCTTTAAACTCATCCCGCCGCCAATCCCTCCTCAGCCCCAAGCAGGAGGGAGCCCATCGGAGGAAGAGGCCTCTGGGGGTTGTTTCCAACCCAAATGGTCCAGGAGATGCGAGCCAAGGGCTGGATTGGGCCGAGCGCCCATGGGATGCTCAAGGCAGCAGCGGTGTTGAGGGTACCTGGATGCTGGGGGGCACTGGGGTGGCAAAGTGGGGCCCGGAGCAGCCCAGCCCTGAGGACTGGTCCCAGTTAGGAGCAATTCGCTCCCCAAAAGGGAGATCCAGCTTGGAACAGGCTCCCCAAGGGAAATGATGGAGTCACAGCCCTGGAAGGGGTCCCCAAACCGTGCATCCGAGGCCCTCGGGGCCATGGGGTCCCAACAGCAGCGCTAGGATGTGGGCAGGATGGAGCCCAGCACCGGGCTATGGGCAGGATGGAGCCCAGCACCGGGCTATGGGCAGGATGGAGCCCAGCACTGGGCTATGGGCAGGATGGAGCCCAGCACTGGGCTATGGGCAGGATGGAGCCCAGCACCGGGCTATGGGCAGGATGGAGCCCAGCACTGGGCTATGGGCAGGATGGAGCCCAGCACCGGGCTATGGGCAGGATGGAGCCCAGCACTGGGCTATGGGCAGGATGGAGCCCAGCACTGGGCTATGGGCAGGATGGAGCCCAGCACTGGGCTATGGGCAGGATGGAGCCCAGCACTGGGCTATGGGCAGGATGGAGCCCAACCGCAGCCCCACGTGAACCCCAGACCCAAACCACCCCAGGCCTGACCCCCGGGCCCCCGGGAGCATCGCTGGCAGCTGGGCTGGGATCCAGCCTGGAGCAGGGGTTAATGAGGCAGCGGGGCCGGGAGCCGCAGCGGCAGCGGCCGTTATTCCATATGGACACGGTGCCGGGGGAGGGATCGGGGGGGGATCGGCACGTGCCGGCGTCCTGCCTCGCATCTGGGGGTCCTGAGCCCCCTCTCCTCTCGTGTTGCCACAGGTGACACAAGATGCAGGGTGAGGTCATTGATGCCCCAGTCTGGAGCTGGTCCCTCCCTGCATCCCTCCTGCATCCCTTCAGCGTCTCTCCCCACATCCCTCTTGCACCCCTTTTGCATCCCTCCCCTTACCCCTCCTGCATCCCTCCCTGTATCTCTCTTGCATGCCCCCTTTATCCCCCCCCACATCCCTCCTGCATCCCTCTTGCATCCCTTCAGCATCCCTCCTCACATGCCTCTTCCACCCCTTTTGCATCCCTTACCTTACCCCTCCTGCATCCCTCTTGCACCCCTTTTGCATCCCTCCCCTTACCCTTCCTGCATCCATCCTGCATCCCCCCCACATCCCTCCCGCATTCTTCTTGTATGCCTTTTGCATTCATCCCCTTACCCCTCCTCACATCCCTCTTGCACCCCTCTTGCATCCCTTCCCTTACTCCTCCTGCATCCCTCCTGCATCCCTCTTGCACTCCTTTTGCATCCCTCCCCTTATCCTTCCTGCATCCCTCCAGCATCCCTCTTGCACTCCTTCAGCATCCCTCCTCACATCCCTCTTGCACCCCTCTTGCATCCCTTCCATTACTCCTCCTGCATCCCTCTTGCGCCACTCTTGCATCCCCCCCTTTACCCCCCCTGCATCCCCTTTGCATCCTTTCAGCATCCCTCCTGCATCCCAGAGATGCTCTTGTATCACCAACCAAACACCACTGGGGTAACCCAGGACCCCATCGTGTCCCTTAGAGGGCTCCAGCACCCCTCAATGCTGTGCCCATGGTGTGGGGCTGGGGCTGGACCGCAGAGGTCGTGGCCGTTTGCTCCCGGGTGACGGCCGGGAAGCCGCTGGGCCCCTTCCCCACCTCTCTGCGCTGCCCATGGGGCCGCGGCGCAGCCAACTGCTCCCGGCGAGGCTGGCGCAGGCCGATCCAATCCATCAGGGGGGTAATGAGCTATGAAAGTGTGGATTCAATTAAGGGGGATTGCGACGGAGGCAGAGCCAGACGGAGAAAGGAGCCGGCTTCCCTCTGAAAGGCTCCATCTGTGCCGCCGGCTCCCCCTTTGTGCTGCCTCAAAGAGCCGGAGCAGCACAAAAGAGGCTGCATCCCGCTGGGTGATGCACTGGGAGGGGAGGAAGGGGGGGGAAACTGAGGCAGGGGGTGATGCTTATAGCACCCAGGGCAGGGTTTGGGCTCGGAGCCCTCGGTGCTGGCTGCAGGTGTAATCCCGATGGAGATCATGGAGTCAGTGATTTAAGGTCATCATTAAACCGTCCCATCCCATGGCTCGGATGTGGGATCACAGTGGATAAAGGAGGGTTTGTGGCATCTTCCCCTCTGCATCCTCATCCTCTTAGCAAAGGCAGAGCCGGGTTTCTCCTACCAGATGTGGCCGGAGTCCCATCGGGGTAGTTAGGGCCATATCGCTTACGGAGGGGATTAGAGCCACGCTCCCCAAGGCCTCTGGGATTAGGATCTAATGCAGCAGGCGCTGCCTTCCGGGGCCTCCGATGGAGCTGTGGCCTCCTCATCCTCCCTCTGCAGAGGCTCTGGTGATGGTGGTACCCAAGGCCTGGGCTGTGCCAGGGGGAATCCTGGAGGGATCCCTTCAGAAACCCCAGCTACTTCCAAGGGTGAGACCCAGTGGGGGAGCTGGGGTAAGGAGCTGCATCCTGCCTGCATCCCTCCAGCATCCCTCACACAGCCCTCTTGCATCCCTTCAGCATCCCTCACACATCCCTGTTGCATCCTTCCTGCATCCCTCCTGCATCCCTCACACATCCCTGTTGCATCCTTCCTGCATCCCACTTGCATCCCTCCTGCATCCCTTCAGCATCCCTCACACATCCCTGTTGCGTCCTTCCTGCATCCCTCACACATCCCTCCTGCATCCCTCTCACATCCCTCCTGCATCCCTTCAGCATCCCTCACACATCCCTGTTGCATCCTTCCTGCATCCCACTTGCATCCCTCCTGCATCCCTTCAGCATCCCTCCAGCATCCCTCACACAACCCTGTTGCATCCTTCCTGCACCCCTCCTGCATCCCTCACACATCCCTCTTGCATCCTTCCTGCATCCCTTCAGGATCCCTCACACATCCCTGTTGTGTCCTTCCTGCACCCCTCCTGCATCCCTCACACATCCCTCTTGCACCTCTCATGCATCCCTCACACATCCCTGTTGCATCCTTCCTGCACCCCTCCTGCATCCCTCACACATCCCTCTTGCATCCCTCCTGCATCCCTCCCGCATCCCTTCAGCATCCCTTCAGCATCCCTCCCGCATCCCTTCAGGATCCCTTCAGCATCCCCCTTGCAGGCAGCCCCACGGAGGGAGGACCAGGGCTGAGCATCCCGCTCCGGAGCTCCCCGATGGGGATGCGCTCAGGTGGGGGATGCGCTGGCACAACGTGTCCCTGCGTGTCCCCCCCCTCGAGACCCAGCCTTGTCCCCATCAGACACGGAGCTGGGGGGCCCCGCGCTGGCAGCAGATGGCTGGAGGCAGCTTGCTGACACCTGCCCCTCCTCTCCACCCCTCTCCTTGCCCTTCCCTTTCTTCTCCGCTTGTTTTGTTCCCATTCCCAACGCTCCGGGTGGAAGCGGAGGGTCCCAAAGCGCTGCTCCCTTTGGCCAAAGGGAGCCTCTGTGTGCCCTGGAGGGGGATGCCAGGATCCGGAGGGATGCGCTGGCCCCAGGCAGGGGCAGGAGGCGGTTGGGATGAGGGGGATGCTGTGGAGGATGCTGCAGTGGCTCTGACAGGGGGTTTGGGGTGTTTGGGGTACAAGGAGCCCCATTGATGGGGATTCCTCTGCTCTGCTCCTGCTGGATGACCGGGAGCATCCTGGCATCAGGCGGCTGCTCCCTCGTGTCCAAAGTGATGCAGGGAGAGGTCCCATTGGAGCAGCAGCAATGGGTCCCCCTCTGTCCTCCTTCCTCCCAAGGGGCTCCTTTGGGATGCAAAGCGCAGGGCAGCTCCCCAGCATCACCTGGGCATTTCCAAGCGCTCCCAGCACTAAACCCACCACCACAGCAGCATCCCAGGCCCTCTGGGAGGTTTTATCCCCATTCATCCCAGGAATGGGAGCTGGAAAAGCATCTTCCCAACAGGCAGCGACTGTGGGGCGCGGGGGAGCTGCGGGCATCACTTGGGGACCCCAGAGCCCTCCAGTGCAGGGAGGTTTGGTACCAAGGATGCTGGGAGCGATGCGGGCAGGAATGGGAATGGGCTGAGGGATGCAGGACCAGGAGAGGATGTGGGTCCTGTGCCAGGGCAGCCCCGCTGGCTCTGCAGTGAGGATGAAGGCACCTGGAGCATCCTCATCCCGCTGCCCTATGCAAGGCACCCAATGGTACCCACAGCAGCACGAACCCCACGGCTCCTGGGCATGGGAGAGGAGCGATGCTCCCGCTATGGGATGGGACCAACCCAGCTCCCCCCAATCCCCCCTTTTTCCCATTGAGTTTCCATAAATCAAGCTCTGGCATCCCCCCCCCCCCTCCTCCTTTTCCTTCCCCTGCGGCGGGTTTGGGGGTCACCGGTGACCCCTGGCAGATGGCGGGGGATCTCCCACCCCTTCCCAAGGAGCCGACCATCTGTCAGGGAGCTCAGAGCTCCCCAGCTCCTGCTTTGGGAGCCTCCGTGCAGCATCCGCACCTTGGGACCCTGCTGCTGGCAGCGCAGGCAGGAGGGGATGGGATGAGAAGAGAGTTGGGGGGGTGCCCTGCACTCTGCCCCCCCTAAATCCATGGGGTGAGGAGGAGATGGGGAGGGATTATAGGGAGAATCCCAATGCGTTCAATGGGGATGGCAGGGATCTTGTCCCACGCATGGAGCATCCTTCCCCTGGACCAGCCTGGGGGCAGTGGATGGCGTTGGGGCATCCTGGGGGTGTCCCCACCACAGTGGCCCCGTGCCCCCCCTGCTGTCCCCAAGGGGGGTTTGGGTTTGTCCCCAAGAGCACGGTGCTGAGGCAAGCAGCTGAGCTCTGGTTGTGGGGCTGGGGGCCTCTTGGGACCCACGCACCCCAGAGAGGGCACATCTGGGTGACACAGACCCACATCTCCTTGTGATGGACCCCAGAGAGAGGCCACCTCCGGGATGGAGACCTGGGGGGGACCGCGTTTGGTCCCCAAGTGGGGCAATGCAATGGGGCAGGACCCATAAGCATCTCCCAAGGCTCAGAGACGGCAGGGAGCATCCCGACAAAGCGGGAGCAGGGCTCCTGGCTGGCGGTGTCCCCATCCCTGCATCCCGCCCCAGCAGATCCATGGCAACGAGGGGTGATCCCTGGGAGCACGGGTGATAAATGAGGGTTTATTTCACTCCTGGCTCCCACTTTGCATCCCAAATCCCTCCTGCTCCTCTGCTGCGACCAAGGGATGCGGCACGCAATGGGAGCAGGGCTTGTCTCCATCCTCCTGCTCGGCCAACACCGCCCGGCCCAGCAGCACCAGCACCGCTCCTGCCCCTCTCCCAGTGCTGCCCAGTGCCATGGGCACTGGTGTGGGGCAGCCCCTGGCCCCGCAGTGGGGCTGCAGCCGTCCCCTCCCCATAGACTCAGGGGGAGACCACGTACGCGGTGGCGATGTACCTCCTGCCATTGCCATAGGTGGACTTGGTCCAGGGGTAGGTCTGGATGCTGAGGCTGTGGCCACCCAGGCTCAGGTGACATCTGTGGGGACATGGCTGAGTTATAGCCCTGATCCCATCATGAGCCCTATTCACATCTCCAGGATGCTCTTGGTGACCCCACACCATCCCTGGTCCCACAACCACATCCCCAGAATGCTCTTGGTGTCCCAACACCATCCCTGATCCCACAACTGCATCCCCAGGATGCTCTTGGTGACCCCACACCATCCCTGAGCCCCAGTGATATCTCCAGGATGCTCTTGATGACCCCACACCATCCCTGATCCCCACAACCACATCTCCAGGATGCTTTTGGTGTCCCCACCACACCATCCCTGATCCCACAACTGCATCCCCAGGATGCTCTTGGTGACCCCACACCATCCCTGGTCCCACAACCTCATCCCCAGGATGCTCTCGTTGTCCCCCCACCATCCCTGAGCCCCACAACCGCATCCCCAGGATGCTCTTGGTGACCCCACACCATCCCTGAGCCCCATTCACATCCCCAGGATGCTCTCGTTGTTCCCCCACCATCCCTTAGACCCACAACCTCATCCCCAGGATGCTCCCGGTGCCGGATGCAGATCCGCACTGATGCCCGTGGTACTTACTCCCTCCCGGGCCTCGCGATGAAGCACAACGTGTAGAGGCCGAGCTCGAACTCGGGGCTGCAGCCGATGAAGGCAGAGCCCACCTCCTTGTAGAAGCCGTCCCAGCTGAACTGGAGCCCCAGCACATCCGGGTACGTGTCCCACTGGGGAAAGGGGGTCCAGGGCTCAGAGCCACAAAGCCCCAGGTCCTCCCCACAGCAGCTTCCCACTGGTGTGAGGGTAGAGCCCCAGCCTCAATCTCTCCCTTTATGCACTGGGAGGTGTTGCGCTGCCATCCCATGCTCTTCCCACCCTCCTGCCCTCCATCCCATGGAAGCAGATGGGATGCGGCATCCCATTCGCCCTATGTAGGATGCGGCTGGTTTGGGATGCTGCCCTGCATCCCGCGGGATCACTCACGGGCCCGTCGAAGTTGTGGCTGAAGTAGTTGACCATCCCCTGCTTTTCCAGGAGGTAGAAGCGAATCCAGTTGTGGAATCCGGACACTTTCCCCTTCTTCACCTCCCCTGGTCACACGTTTGGGACATGGGAGCATGGGGTGAGCCCCAGCCCGGCGCTGTCCAACCCGCCCCGTCCCAGTGGTACTGGTGCTACCTGAGAAGATGTGCTCGAAGCCACTGGAATCCTGCTCCCCATCCCCGCGGGAGTAGAGCCCGAACCACATCTCCTGCAGATCCGCAAGGAATTCCTGCTCCGAGCCGTAGCGGTCTGTGTGGAGCGATGGGAGAGGCGATTCCGGATGGGAGCCATGGGAGAAGCATCCTGACCCAGGGATCTTCTTGATCCATCATCCCTGACCCAGGCCTATCCCTGATCCGTCACTCCTGACCTTTCCCTGATCTATTCCTGTCCTGATCCTCTCCCTGATCCATCCCTGTCCCAATCCTCTCCATGATCCATCCCTGTCCCAATCCTCTCCCTGATCCATCCCTGTCCCAATCCTCTCCATGATCCATCCCTGTCCCAATCCTCTCCCTGATCCATCCCTGTCCCAATCCTCTCCATGATCCATCCCTGTCCCAATCCTCTCCCTGATCCATCCCTGTCCCAATCCTCTCCCTGATCTACCCCTTTCCCAATCCTCTCCATGATCCATCCCTGTCCCGATCCTCTCCATGATCCATCCCTGTCCTGATCCTCTCCATGATCCATCCCTGTCCCAATCCTCTCCCTGATCCATCCCTTTCCCAATCCTCTCCCTGATCTACCCCTTTCCCAGTCCTCTCCCTGATCCATCCCTGTCCCGATCCTCTCCATGATCCATCCTTTTCCCAATCCTCTCCCTGATCCATCCTTGTCCTAGTCCTCTCCCTGACCCATTCCTGTCCCAATCCTCTCCCTGTCCCAATCCTCTCCCTGACCCATCATTTTCCCAATCCTCCCCCTGATCCATCCCTGTCCCAATCCTCTCCCTAATCCATCCCTGTCCCAATCCTCTCCCTGATCCACCATCCCTGACCTCTCCCTGAGCCATCCCTGTCCCACTTCCCTTAGGAGCTTTACCCTTCTCCATTCCCCCCATCCCACCATCCCTGAGATCCAGCTCCATGCTCCTCCATCCCAACCCTCCCAGCCCACCTCCCACCAACAGGACCTTTCCTTTGGGACCCCCAATACCCAGAATCCCCATTCCCCTGCTCCCCACTCACTTTTGCTATGGAGGAAGGTGAAGAGTTTCTTCATGAGCTCCGTCTTCATCACTTCCCTAAGGAAGTTCTCCTGCTCCCGCAGCTCCTCCTGCGTCACCTCCTCCTCCTTCCCGGTGGCCCTCCGGTAATTATCCAGCAGTTTAATGAAGCTGGAATAGGTGGGCTTGGAGAAGAGCTTCTCATTGACGTACCTATAGAGCCTAGGAGACAGCAGAGGGGTTCAAACCAGCCCTGAGCCCTCTTTGGGTGCCCAGTGGTCGCCCCATGAGGACCACTCACGGCTGCGGGGACCGGTCCTCCTGGTCCCCGGTCTCCTCGGGGGATGCTCGGTGCTGGGGGTTGATGGCGATGTCGCTCGGTTGGGCTTTGTTGTGGTCGGCCCCATAGAGCTGCTCTGAGATGCGCAGGAGGTCCTGGTCCGTGATGGAATCCTGGCTCCTGGAGAAACCCTCTGGAAGAGAGGTGGAAGCGCCTGGGATGCGGGCTCGCTGTTGGCTCCATCCCAGGACACTGGGATTGAGGTTGAGGGGTGCAGGAGGGTCCCAACCCCACACTTTGGGGCTAAAAGGAACCCTTTGTTGAGCATTGGGTGAACTGGGAAGCATCAGCCCCATCTCCCTGCTCCTTGGGGCTGGAATCAGCCCCATCTCCCATGGTTTAGGTTCATGGTGACCAGAGGATGGGAAGACCCTGCCTCTGCTTCACCCAGCTCTGGGGAAGGGACATCGTGGTGCTGGTGAGCAGGCAGGAGGTGCTGGGACACATGGGGTGACCCCATAATGGTGGTTGGATCCCTTGCTACTCACCACGGGGGTGAGCTGCCTCCTCGGCCCATTCTCCACCTGCATGGAGCCAAAGGAAAGGATGCTCAGGGTGACGGAGATGCAGGACCCAAATGCACATCAGTACGGGAGGACACATGGTGCTACCCAGCTCCTCTGCACCCCATGGCCCCCAGACCCCTGTATCCATCCCATATCCATCCCATATGGACGCTCACCGGGTTGGCAGTGCCTGTAGTAATCCCCACAGCAGTTGTGGTCCCTCTCGCACTCGGGGCTGCAGTGGCACTCGTCCTCCTTGTTGTAGGGCTCCTCACAGCGCCCATAGCAGGAGTCAGGGGCCGTGTACAGGGCTTTTGGGGACAGAAACACCAGGGTGGTCCTCAGCATGGACCAATCACCCTGCTCCATCCTACCCATGGCCTGGAGCATCCTTCCTTCCCCTCATATCCCCCTCCTAGGAGAGCCTGAAGCCCCTATCTGGGGCTATTTGGGATGCTCTGCCAGCACTGAGGGGTGGTGTTGCGATGGGATGAGTCCTCAGGAGGCACATTCCCCATGGACACTCCTCTTTGGACGTGGATTTCCACCACACCAAGGCCACTTCACACCAGGAAACACGTTCTTGACGCCCCACCGTTCATTCCTCCTTCTGATTCACCCTTTTAATGCCAGGATTAGCAGGAATGCCCCAGGTCCCAGTGCTTCCAGGCCGGAAGAGTGCCACATTCCAGGTACATTTGTGTGTGACCTTCACCGCTCTTGGGAAAACTGGGATCTCCTTCCTGAGCTCTCGATGGGATGAATGTGGCACTGGGCATCTGCTGCATTACACACAGGGGCACAGCTGGGCACTGGATATGGGATGCCCTGTGGTGTGTCCGTCATCGGGGGGGTGATGGACACTTGGCATCAAGCAAAGAGGGGCTGTAGGAGACCAGGATGTTGGGTCTGGGCTAAGAGACAGCCCAGAGAAGGCCTGCTTAGGGAAGGTGCTTTATCCTCTATGCTGCCCATCAGCTCCTGAGGGCAGGAATGGCAGCCCAAGCATGGCTTTTTGGCATCCCTATGCTCCAGCTAGGAAGGTGACCAGAGAACCATAGAACCATGGAATGGTTTGGGTTGGAAAAGACCTTGGAGCTCATCCAGTTCCAACCCCTTGCCATAGGCAGGGATGTCTCACACTAACCCACGCCACCCAATGCCTTGTCCGACCTTGTCCCCCATCTCCAACCCAATGAGAGATCCCAAGCAAGCTGCAAAGGGCTCCCTGGAGGAACGGGCGCTGCTTTCCCTTCCCAACCTGCAATCAGGCAACAGCTCCAACACCTCTGGCTCACCTGCCTTGAACTGCAGGAGGTGAAGGATGCCCTAAGGGCAAAGCCTGACGCAAGGACCACGGCCACGTCATGCGGGTTGGCTTCAATCCTGCTCTGGATCGCACCCAAGGCCTCTGTGCCTTTCAGAGCCCCGTCACCAAGGCCCCACGCGTGATGATGGGAGAGGAAGAACTTCTTGGCCCCATCGGGCAACCCAGCCCAGGCTGACTGTGCTGCAAGGACTCACTGCTGACTCCTTGGCTTCTCACCACCACATCCCTGCCTCCAAAGCCACTCTATAGCAAAGGGAGTGTTAAGGGGGAAGGGGTTGCTTGGGATGCTCCTGGAGACCATCACCCCTTTGGTGATCATGGAATGGCTTGGGTTGGAAGGGAGCTTAAAGCTCATTCAGTTCCAACCCTCCTGCCATGGGCAGCTCCCTCCCATCCCAACCCATTCCATTGGGATTCAATGGCCCCCATCCCCAGGACATCATCCCTCTCGCTCCCAACGCGTCACTCGGGATACTTCAGCCTGAATCATCCATCCAGGCTCGTTTTCCAGCAGCATTCCCAGAGGGATTGTGCAAGGCAGGAACTGCCCACACCTAAATCACTGCTGAGACATTCCTGGTGCTGGGGCACGTGCTGCTGGAGCGGCAGTGATGCAGTGGGGCAGGAGCCCCATGGAGCCCATGGAGGAGCGAGCTCAGCATCACCCCATGGGTCACTTGTGGGTGCTGAGGCTTCACAGGGCAATGGGTGCTGCAGGGGGATGTCCCCTCCTCCTCACACATGGACCAGGAGCGCATCCAGTAACCTGTGATGGTTGAGTTTAATGGAGCTGATGGAGCTTCCTGGGAGCTGCAGCCAAGGGATGGGGCTGGAGCAGGACATGGAATCATGGAATGCTTTGGGTTGGAAGGGACTTTAAAGCTCATCCAGTTCTATGGGCAGGGACACCTCCCACTGGAGCAGCTTGCTCCAAGCCCCTGTGTCCAGCCTGGCCTTGATGGGATGGAGCATCCAAACCTTCTCCATTGAGCCCATTCCAGTGTCCCAACAGGGAAGAGCTTCCTTATCTCCAAGCTGAACTTCCCCTGTCCCAGTCTGAACCCATCACCCCTTGTCCCATCGCTCCAGCCCCTGACGCAGGTCCCTCTCCAGCACCCCTGTAGCCCCCTTCAGCCACTGGAAGCTGCTCTTCTCCAGCCCCAGTGTTCCCAGCCTGGCTCCTATGGGAGCTGCTCCAGCCCCTGAGCATCCTCCTGTGGACCAGCTCCAGCAGCTCCAGGTCCTCCTTGTGCTGAGGATACTGGAGCTGGATGCAGTTTCCAAGTGGGGTCTCAGCATAGCAGCACAGACGTGGCTCAGCTCAGCACATCCACACTCAGCCCTTGCCTGCTCCAGCTCAGCACATCCACACTCAGCCCTTGCCTGCTCCAGCCTGTTTTTCCGGCTCCAGGAAGCCAGGCCACTATTCCCATCTCATTTGCAGGTCCAGCCCTCCCCAGAGCAGCTTTTGGGACCAAAGCAAACTCCTTTTCCTTTCCTCCACACAGGATCTGGCAGGGGAACAGGGGCTATTTCCATGCACCAGGACCCCAGTGCCTCCCAGTATGGCTTCAGTGCATGGGGATGGGTTATGGACCGTGTCCCATCAGGACCTCGCTGCAAATACACCCCAAGGACCAACCCTATCAAAAGGCCCATTTGAAGGACAAATAAACTTGGAAGCAAAGAGCTATCGATGCTCTGAGGTGCCCAGGTACTTAATGACATCCCCCACTCAGCACCCCATGGATGAGGTACCAGGATACAGCCCCCTTCCTCCTCCCCATGCTGTTGGATGCAGGAGGCAGGGATTGCGGGGCAAAAGCACCCCAGGCTGCACCAGGAAGCAAGGGGTGGCCAAGGATAATCCCTTGGGGAAGTCTCAACCCATCCTCATCACCACGGAGCTGGAGGAGGAAACCATCCCTCACCCTGTCCCCTGTGAAGCTCCGATGGATCCAACCCCACCTGGTTTCTGGAAGCATCCCCTGCTTCCACCCCGTCCCCATCCTTCCCATGGGATGCTCCGGCTGCTTTCGCCCCTCTGCTGAAGCACAGCCCCATTACTCACTGCCAGCCACGCAGCCCAGGGCTATTCCTGCCCCGACAAGGAGGATCCAGGTGTTCATTATCCCGTGGAGTCCAGGCTGGATGCTTGGGAGCGTCCTGGAGAGCAGGTTGGGAATGACGGTGCTCCCCGGTGCTCCCTGCTATATGTGGGTCACCTGGGGGCATGGAGGGGAAGGAGGAGCTTGGTGCCACTGAGGTCTTCACCCAAAGCCCATTATGTGCATGGCTCAATCACAGCCTTCCTGCAGCGGGAGCAGGGCTGGATAATCCAGTATCCTGGTATTGCTCCATCCTGGGCTGCAGGAACCCCGGCAATGGCATCACCTTCCTCGGGTGCTGTTTATGGAGGCTGGGAATTCCTTATGGAGGCCTCCGGGTCCTCCAGCATCAAGGAGTGGGTTTTGTGGTGATCCCATTGTGGTCTCATCCAGGGGACAAGCACAGAGATGGTCCCTGCCCTGCAAGGGGTTGTTATCCTATGGAGCATCCCCAGGGAGCACCAACGGGAAGCTCAGCCTGTGCTTGATGTGGTCACCTGCCTCTCCCCTGCCCACAGCAGGCTCAGTTCTACACATCCCAATGGGAGATGGTCCCAGATGATGGGTGTTTTGGTATATCCAGAAGGAAATCAAGGTGCTTGGTGACTTCACTAAGGGGACATCCTGCCTGACCAATTTGGTGGCCTTCTATGATGTGGCTACAGAACTGATGGACAGGGGTAGAGCAGGTGATGTCATCTACCTGGGTTTGTGTAAAGCACTCGACACTGTCCCACACGACATCCTTGTCTCTAAACTGGAGAGACATCAATTTGATGGATGGACCACTCGGTGGATAAAGAACTGGCTGGAGGGACGCACACAAAGAGTTGTGGTCAATGGGTGAATGTCTGGCTGGAGACCAGTAACGAGTGGTGTCCCTCAGTGGTCGGTGTTGGGACCGGTCTTGTTTAACATCTTTGTTGGTGACATGGACAGTGGGATTGAGTGAGCCCTCAGCAACTTTGTGATGACCCCAAGCTGTGTGGTTGGGTTGATCCGCTGGAGGGAAGGAATGCCATCCAGAGGGACCCTGACACGCTTGTGAGGTGGCCTGATGCCAACCGCATGAAGTTTAACCATGCCAAGTGCAAGGTCCTACACCTGGGTCGGGGCAATCCCAGACACAGCTACAGGCTGGGATGCTGGGGATGGACTCTTCATTAGGGACTGCAGTGATAGGACAAGGGGTAATGGGTTCAAACTGAAACAGGGGGAGTTTAGATTGGATCTAAGGAGGAAATTCTTTCCTGTGAGGGTGCTGAGGCACTGGAATGGGTGCCCAGGGAGGTTGTGAATGCTCCATCCCTGGCAGTGTTCAAGGCCAGGTTGGACAGAGCCTTGGGTGCCCTGGTTTAGAGTGAGGTGTCCCTGTCCATGGCAGGGGTTGGAACTGGATGATCTTAAGGTCCTTTCCAACCCAAACCATTCTATGATTCTATGAAACACAATTCCCATTGCAGAGCACATCCTGTGTCCCACTCAAAGGGGCCTATACTGGACCAGCTCAGTGCCCATCCCACCTCCAAGAGCATCTCCAAGCTGCCTCTGGACCATTGCACAACCTCCCTGTTCACAAAGGGGCAGGCCTGGCTCCAGCCCCATGGCCTCCTCTGCACCCATTTAAGGGACAGGACCACTGCTGGGACCATGCATGGGGATGGGGTTGGAAACCTCCAGCCCCATTGAGCACAACCACCCAAGCCAAAGCCTCGCACTGGGCTGGGTGCTGCAAGGAACCCACCTCCCACCCCATAAGTGGCTGCTTGAAACCTCCTTTAGGTGTGATGGGACCTTTATTGTCATCAACCCATTGACGTGCACGGCTTGAAGAGCAACCAAGGCAGCAGCTCTGGTCCTTGTAGCCCTTGGGGCAAGGCTGGTGAGGGTTTGGCTTGTGGTGTCCTGGCCATGGCACAGAGCATCCATTGTGGTGGGTCCCTCTGTGGGCTCTGATGTCCCCTGAGCCCCACAGCTTCACCCAGGCCTGCTCGAGGTCGTTGTCAAAGTGCTCCACGTGCATCGAGATGCTCGGAGGGTCCTGGCCCCTGGGGTCCATCAACTGCTTCCTCCAAAGGCATCTCCCCCTAAGCCCTGCTTGTGGCTGTGGGTTGGGATTGGCTGGAGCAGGTCCCCATCTCCATCATGAGGCCACCACTGCTTCCTTCCCTCCAGGCCTGATGCTGTCCCATTGCTGGATATGGCTATTCCTGCCCCCGATCCATGTGGGGTAACTGATGCACGGAGGAGGATGCTTTAACCCCAATAGTTCTGGAGGGGGGGATATCAAGGTACTTCCCCCATGGTTTCGGGATCATGCAGCTCCCATAGGCTGGGATGGG